TGGACACAATTATATGGAAAACAATTACTTTAATAAAATACTTTGAAATGTTTATCAAGCAATGATCATCCAGTTATTTATTGCCACTCAAGGAAGTTCTGTTCATGATAAAACAACTTTTTGTTGAGGATAAGTTGAACATCTTCAGCCTATATGCATCAAATCAGTCACAATATCAAGATATTACAAACTTTGTCTTATACCTTGACATCATAATTATAGAAGTTTATAAATTGATTTGATTGTATATTTTCACCAGGTGTGAGATCCCACGATGGAGAACTAGGAAAATATATGAATTATAAATACATGATTATACTCACCTCTAAATCATCTTTATCAATGACTTCTTCTTCTATTTGAAACTGTAAATCTTCACATTTTCTACAAGAAATAATACAATGATTTCCGGTTACATGAAGGCTTCCTGCTGTGTCTAAGTCAGTAAAAGGCATCTGTTTAATCAATTATTAAAATTAAGGCAAAAAATAAAGAAAGTCATATCCATTTTACTAGGATCTTGGAGAATCTGTTTACCAGCGTGTTCTTGGCATTGACTTTTCCTGGAATATTGGTACCCATTTACAACTGGGTTAACTGAAAGCTTCTTTTTTTATGATTAAAGCCACCAAACCAATGAAGTTAAGTTTTCAATACTCATTTCCTCATCCAATTTTTATTTCAAACATGTCGAGCTGCCAGATGCCGAATTTTCATTCTGATAAGCGATGAAGATATGTTTTAGTACTCACCTTTTTTCATCTTCTAATTGTCCCTTTATAGCATTATTTTCTTTCTCTAAAGCTGTAACTACAGCTCGTAATTTTAACAGCTGTTCATCTGATTCTTCTCTGTATCTGTTCTGATCTGTACATAATGCTGCTATCTTTGTTTCAGCCTGTAATATAAAGAGGATCTTGAACAGTGCTGATGGCATATTGTTTTTCTGAACCAGCTTTATGAACCAGGAAGCAGTACTGTTGTGTGATAAAATCTGTTGTGTAGCATTCAAATCTTTTTGAAATATTATGAACTATTAGAGGAGTAGGGGTCACCTGAAAGAATTTGTGACTTAAAGATGGGTTTCCTTATTTGAATATAAAGTAGGGGTGTTCTAATGACTTGGAAAAATACCAGTTTGTCTCACAAAAATAATTCATCATGAGCTGAATAAGAAGAGAATTACCAGCAGAATTCCAACGAGTGACCAATCAAGAAAGGTCAAAAAGTATTTTTTTTGTTTATTGAGACTCTACATAATAGGACATATTGGTTAAAACTCTTAATTATAACCAACAAGAATGTAATGATATGATTAAGATATGGGTTGAAAATACTGACGGTCAACCTAAATGACAATTAGTAGACTATGCCCTCATAGCAGTCAGTTCCCTCACAATTTGTTGCTGTATCTATTGAATTTCAAATATAATAAAATGCTACATACATCATCTGCCTGAGCTGCAGCTCTAGCTACTTCAGCTCTCTCTAGATCTCTTTCACGTAATAACTGTTCTATATGATCTTCTTTTTCTTTTAATGCTTTCTACAAATCATAATACAACTGTGTTCATAAAACAAACATATTTTAGACCATTTGATTAAAATGCAATTTAGTTTAGTGTATTTTCTCCAGTTGACTCTACTCGTCATCCATGATCTATCATAGTTTGTTAAAATATCTAACCAATCAAACATACTCTTGATAAAACTTTTTGATTGATTATCATAAATTAAGGCAACCATTGATGCTTTGTGTCAGAACTTGACTGTACGTGTATAAAGATAAATTCTGCCTGATCATGGATTTTTGTGTAGTAACCCAAATTTGCATTTGATTAGGTCTTTAAATGAACAGTTGTTGTTCCAGAAAGGTGAATTAAATTAGTTGAAGGAAGACTCTAACCAGAAAGATTTGTTATCAGAAATTGGTCACCAAAAAGTTCAGTTAGAAAAGAGAATAGTTAAAAATAATTTTAGTTTTCTAATAGATTGTACAACCATTTTACAAACCCTTCCATTCAACTCTGTCTTACCAAGAATGGATGTGTGTTCAAGCCCAGCTCAGAAATTAAAAGTCAGTAATTGCTTCAAAATAATCTTTGTATAGCCAATTCAAGGCATTGTAAGGCTATCCCAAGGGGAGACAACTTTGCATTGCTTACCTGTAGGGCTGATGTACTGGTGGATAAGCCTACACCACTGGATCTTTGAGCTGACTTCACATTCTATATATGAGAGTAGTTAATAAGATTATATCATAAATACCTAATCACACAATAGATAATAGAAGAATATGTATCGCACATCAAAATATTGATCAAGCAGTGGAAATCGTGATTAAAAGCGTGATTATCATAATCATTGAACTGTGATTACAAGTTGATATTGTTGTGATTAAAAAGCTTGATTATCACTTGGAATATTGATGTGATTTACAATAGTCCATAAGCTTCCTTAATTTGTTTTATTTTTTGATATATTTGCAATGCAAACAAGATGGATGCAAACAATACATTGTTTATTGCAGAAGATAGATTAAGATTGTACACTGACATAAAGGTTTTTCTTAGAAATTAACTGAAATTAGTCAAGACTAAACCAAAAAAAAAATTATGGTGCTATTTTTTAATCTAAATCATGTACAATCAGCACTTTCAGAAACTTTAAGTCATCTATATTCCTTTTCTTGCTGACAAATAGACCAGTTCCAAACTATTCTTTTCGGACTTTTATAGAGCTGATTCCTTTGGGATCAATTCAGCTGTGTCAAAGAAAACCTTATATCAATGTTATAACAATTTGATAATAATATAATTTATAACTATAAATAAGAAATAATTATAATGAATAATTGTCATGCAATAAATAACGAGAAAAGTTGTCAGAATAAATTTTAAAAATTCAATAAGCTTGTATATTATTATGGGTTCATTAGCTATCTTGAATTAAGAAAAAGTCAAACATTTTTACAGAGATCAAGATTGAATTGATAATGTTAAGTTAAATAAATTGCTTTTTTAGTCTTTAAATAAGATTTAGTATTAAATTGTGAGTATAATATATAGAAACAGCTTTATGGAACAACAATCACTGGTTAATGTTATGCAATGTTTCGATATGTTTCCCCGTTGTCCTCTGGTGATTGATGTTCTATCAAGCTGTATCTTTAAAAAAAATGGCTTTAATGTTTCTTACAGACATGTCATTTAATTTCATCACAGTACTTAATCCTAGTATCTTAATAAGAGGCTTATTTTTACATCTATAACATTGTGTAAAGACAATTTACTCTTTTAGACCACCAAATTAATAGAAGAAAATTTCTTTAAAGAACCTGTCAACTTTAGATGTTCACTGAGGGTAATATATAAATTTGGTCTGTATATGATCTTATCTTTCTATCGGATATCTTTTATGCCATTTTGAAATGCAAGTTGAAAGAATTGTGAGAGAGTCGTTTTTCTTTTTCAGACAGATCGAAAGAAAAGATTTCACTGGATATTTCTTGACGTTTGATCAACTACCTTCATTAATTTTTCATGCATTTAGTCTGAAGTTATTGTTTTGAAGATGGAAGTAATTTTAACCTATAATAATCAATATCATTATGTCAATGTTTTGCTGTTTAACTATTTTTTACTTGGTGAAACCAAATGCATTCCAATTTGAATATCTTAAGGTGATTGTAAAGAGGCTTTCTAAAATTTTAATGTGTATCAAGGACACTATTAGCAGTGAATCTGCATCATTGTAATTTTCTGTCTGACATCTGGGGTCCCCGCAATTCTAAAACTAAGATCTACAGAAGATTGACTGAAAATAGGAATGGTGCTAATGGATGCTATCAAAGGTCCCTGATATACATAAGTTCACAAAACTTTTTACAATCCCTTTAAGTTTGTTATCAAAAACAAAAAGAACAGAGTAAATCAGTTATTTCAACAAGTCAGTAATATTATTCACTCCAGAAGATAATAATATTGAAGAGGGAAAATAGAAAGCAGCAGGTTAAAAAAGGTTGGATATTTTCAGGATATATAATAGTATAATACAGTTTAGTAACTATATAATTTAGTACTATAGTGTTGGCATGCTGCTTACTAATGACACTCATTCATGGTGGTGATAGGTGACGAAATTTCACAATCAGTTTTTACATAGATTTCAAAATCATAAAAAAGCAAAAATAGATAGGGGACCAGCTTTAATTTTTTTTTTGTACAATGAAATGAAATGCAGTTGTAATTACTTATTTTCTGCTTAGAATTTGGCAAATGAAAATGTACAACACTATACAGTGCGAAATGAGAAGTTTAGCAAAAGGCTAGGTTTTTTCAGATTGCAACTGAGATTTTGTCTGTGCAAAGCAAAAAAAAAAGATGCTAACATCTGGTAACATACTGGTACCAAAATGGCCATTGGCCAAGCTGTCAACAATCCAAAATGTCTTATTTGTCTGTACAATGATCCAAAGTGACTCATTTGCCACTTGAAATGATCCAAAGTGGTTCCTTTGCCATTTGAATGATCCAAAGTGGTTCCTCTGCTACTTGAAACAACCCAAAGTGGTTCCTTTGCTACTTGAAACAATCCAAAGTATCTTGTTCTCCAAGAACAAAACTTGAACATGGGCAATTACTCAAATGTGTCGCATTGTCAATGCCTCTTTGCCACAGTAAACAATCCAAATACCTATATCTTTTGAAGTGAGTCACTTTTATAACATAGCCTAATTGAGCCTTACTCTGCGGTAGAGTTAAATAAGTAAACTAGCCACACAGAAAGGCAATATAACAATTTGTTGTCTAAGATACAATGAAAATGAGATTTTTCTAAAAAATCAAAGCTGGTCAGAAAAAGGAAATTAACAACAAGAAATCAATATACATGTATTTAGCCAGGAAAAGTTCATTCTTCAGAATATAAAAAGACCAATTCATAGATGACTGCCCGAAACAATTACATTGCCAAATAAATAGATCTGCCAATTATAATACCTAAATAAATTCTTTGAAAATAAAATGAAAGCAAAGAAAATATGACATGAGTAAGCGAGCATATACCTTACTTCCTAATGTGGATACTCCCAGTCTTACCCGACTTCGTGATACACTGGAAGCCGATGAGCTGATAGAACTGATGGAGTCTTGGCTACCACTACGATCTCTTGTACTACGTAGACTTGTATTCAAGGATCTAGTCATGGCATTAGCATTAGGTACGTAGTTAGCGGATATCTTGGTTACTTTGTGTATAGGTGCAAATAATCCGAACATTGGTTTACAATCAAAATATCTGAAATGAGAAGGAAAAAAGAGCTAATATATCAATCTGAGAGCGATTCGTAATATGTGACATACCGTACGTATGTAATTAACCATCCGAAAAATCACAATCCAGTCAATGAATGTCTGGTACCGTAATACTTTTCCAGGGAATAACCGGACGTCATTTTTGCTATTTTAAGCTATTTTGTAAGTGAAGACTTTTGCTTCTACGCAATACGGATAAATAGGAGTGATTTTTTCACTAAGGAATACCAACCACTCTTGCATCACTACGGACAAAATGAGTCTGGCCTTAAAAACATACTGAGTTATACATCCTTGGCATATATTGAACGTTATCTTTCCTGTTCTGACAAGTTAAAGAATTATATAGCTTTAAATATCAAAATTTAGAGATGAGAGATTTTAGCCTTTCTAAGCTTCTGCTTCAGATGATGATCTTGAGTCTCTTGAGTCAAAATGATCTTCTCTGATATTTTCCTCAAAAAATGCATTGGAACAGATGGTTCTCAATTAAGAAAAATCACAACCAACCTTTTACCAGCCACAGCGCCATCATTTTTGCCCATCTGTTCATCTAGCTCTACACCTGCCCAGTCTCCTTTCGCAAACTCAGTTTCACCCATAAATCTCAATACACCAGTCTTAGATCCACTCACTAGAACTCTATCACCAATCTTTACTCCACCTTTACCAGGCATAGGTGTGGATGTAGCTTTAGGCACAGTTGCAGACACAGAATTATTCAGACTGGTAGTAGAACTAGATGGTGCCTTGCTACCAGCTAAACCAAGTCGACTTTGAGGTCTATGAGGTGTGTTTAAAGGTAAAGCTCCATTGGTCATTCCACCAGAACTATTAACAGAACCAGCTGGACTTTCTCCTCTTGAATCACCGGGTTTAGGAGTTGAAGGTGGTATTGATACTGGTTGCCGGGTTAATTTAGACACCCGGGAAAAGACCCCTTTCATGGGTTCACATTGAAAGTATTTAACACCGTTAACTGAACCGTCATTTTTACCAACCGGTTGATCTAACACTACACCGGCCCAATCACCAGCTGCAAACTTAGTCTCACCAATAAAAGCTATACGTCCTGGTTTAGTTCCTCCTAACCACACGCGATCACCGATCTTAAAATCATCTGTGGAATGGGTTTCAGCTGTACATTCAGGACCTAATCAAAAATAATACCAATCTGTACCTTGACAAATACTAATCAAATTTAATTTTGGGTTTAAACCTGTGTGCTTTGCGTGGGTAACATTAGAGCAATTAAACTTTTACAGTAAATTTAGATGCAACTGAAACAAACTTGAATAATAATTATAAATTTATATCAAGTCATTATGGTTTATTTTAAAATTCAAAGATGTAAATTTCCAGAACAACCTAAATTTTGTATTCTTCTTATAATTGAAACAAGATCAAAATTATTTACTCAATGGATTGAGGTTTTTTCATAAATTTTGCCTAATGCTAGACTGACACTATCCCGAACTTAATCAAATCTCGCTTTTGAAGAATTCAAACATCAAATCAAAAAGTCAAAGTTTAAAAAAAAAGCAACTGGCATGTATATAGATTGAAAGCAAGGGATATAAAAACATGCAGGAATAAAAAGCATATCTACTTGCAAATAAAATATGCCAGGCACAATAATGCAAAAACATACATGCAATCCATAATAAAAATTTTCAGAATAAAATATTTCACCCATCCCGTATTCTAATTGCAATTGTTGGACCCTGATATTCTAGTCTAGGCCTTAATAGAGTTTGCAGTTAAGTTCCAGCATTTCTGTGCTTGATCCTGACATGGTATGCTTTAAGCATAAAAAATTTTATGTATATATTAGCTACAGCACATTTCTATTTAATTATAAGAGAACAGAAAGTCTGGTTGTAAATTTGAGAAGTAATACTGTCAGCTGAAATCATATTCTATCAACTGTTTAGAACAAATACTTAGATGATGTTTAAAAAGATGTTTCAAGTCCCAACCCAGCCAGCCTGTGAGCTACAAGTCACTATAAACGTGTGAAGATCAAGTCAGTCTACCATTAAGTAAGAACAATCCTAGTTTTGTATAAAGGAATGTACTGGCCTGTGAAGAATAATAATAAGTATGAATTTTTTGTATAGACTACAACCCATAATATCAATATTGACCAAGCCATGTAGATAAAAATAGATATACTACCCATCACCTAAAATCTACAATTATCTCAATTTCTTTAGTAAAAATTCTATCCCCATATGTCTCATTTATAAGAGAACAGAAAGTCTGGTTGTAAATTTGAGAAGTAATACTGTCAGCTGAAATCATATTCTATCAACTGTTTAGAACAAATACTTAGATGATGTTTAAAAAGATGTTTCAAGTCCCAACCCAGCCAGCCTGTGAGCTACAAGTCACTATAAACGTGTGAAGATCAAGTCAGTCTACCATTAAGTAAGAACAATCCTAGTTTTGTATAAAGGAATGTACTGGCCTGTGAAGAATAATAATAAGTATAAATTTTTTGTATAGACTACAACCCATAATATCAATATTGACCAAGCCATGTAGATAAAAATAGATATACTACCCATCACCTAAAATCTACAATTATCTCAATTTCTTTAGTAAAAATTCTATTCCCATATGTCTCATTTATGATTCAGTGTTCATCTTCACAATCTAACTAGGTACCGTACTTTTCTTGAATCACAGAAGAGTTTTTAAATGCATTGATCTTATTGGATTGTATGCTACCAAATACAGCCAATCAGAGCCTTTGATACAAAGACTGACAAACAATATGGCTGAATGCCAAATCGAGGGCTATGACTGATTGTTTTACCAAGTGTACAATCCAATCAAAATGCTGCATTTACAAACTTTTGAGATACAAGAAAATAGCCTCATTTTGCACTATTCCAATTTTCGATCAGACGTCTGTGCCCTGTGCTTCCTGCAATTGCACTAAAACTAAGAAGACCCTATGTGATCAAGCATATTTTGCGATAAGTGATGTCATCAAACACAGATGTCTGATTGAAAGATTGGAATGATGCAAATTGATGATTTAAGTGAAAGATTTTAGAAATCTCCTTTACAGTCCCTTCTTTCACTGAATAATTATAAAAAGAAAATTGAGATTATTGAAGACTAAAATGGGGTGAAATGTAGACGATAACTTGCCTTTACTTGATGATGAACCTACAGACCAAAAAGTCTTCATGATATAATGATGTACAATGATAATGACACTTCTTGAAAAGGAGACCAAGCAAATTTTAGATCTGAATTTTGAAATTTTTTTTTGTAAATCAAACTTAAATTAGGTTTGTTCAAGAATATTTGTATAATAGTGGTTCTTACAGTCAGACGTTTCAAAAGAAATTTCAAAAATTCCTGAATGGACTATTTCTGTTTTCAATAATAGAGAGCTATATTGACTGGTAATTTAATTTGCTTGGTCTCAATACAACTCAGAATATATGAAAAATATAAATACTACCATCAATTGAGTGCCAGTATATATATATATACAATTATACCTCGTAAATTCTGTATGGCTACATTAGCATAATGTTCAGCATCTGTAACAGATAGTCCTGCTGCTCGGGCACTCTTAGCTAAAGCACCTAGGGTAAACATACATCACAATATACATGCAGCAAGCTAGGGTAGGCAAGGAGGGGTAGGGATAAGGTAGGGTAGGGAAGGGTAAATAGGGTTGAGGGACAAAGATGGAAAATATATATAATTTTTTTTAATCAGAATTTTGTGGGGTCATAGGTCACTTATATACGACATTTTTCTAATAGACAGCTCAGAAAATTGACTGAAAAAGTTGATTTTCGAAAATTCAATTTCATCATGATCTTCTCATTTTTCACAAAAAAAGAGAAGATATTGCACAATGTATAGAAAACTAAAAGTAGGGTACAAAGAGTAGGGAAATTTGCACCAAGCCACAATATTACAATACTCATGCTATATCAACATAAAAACACATGGAATATTTTAGGAAAATTAAATACCAGCAAAATATCCGCCTGGCATTTTCATTAAAAAAAAAAACAATAGTCACATAGCATCATCTCTGACATGTATCTGATCTCAGACAATAAGCACAACATCAGCATTCAAAAAAATTTTCAAAATTCAAAATGCATCACAAAAAACTACACTTTTTGCACAATAAAATCTGCAGATGCAAATTCTCTTTTAAAAAACAAAATGGATTTTTACACAATGCCGGGTGTCAAGGAATTTATGCAACGGAAGTGGAATCAAGGCTGGACTTACTTTGTGGTCTGGATCCAGGGGCAGGTAATCCTGATTTTTGTGGAAGACCAGTTCCAGTTCTAGCAGTTGTCTTTGATGGCGCCTTAAGCCCTGTTGGGCGTGGCAAACTCATTTTTCACTTTTCAATCTGAAATAATGATTTATGTTGACAATTATTAACATGACCACCAATCTAATAGCAATATTGAAAACACTTAAAGTATTCTAATACATAACTCAGTAGTTTTATGGATTTTTCAGTCTATAGAGGGATATTGTTGTAAGGTTATGACACCAGGCAAGTTCACTGATGAATATAAGTACCGGTAAGCTTTTAGTATAAGTACTTAGTTCTCTTATTGGTTAAGTGAGAATTCAAAGTTATGTTCATTCCAAGGTAGTATTCCATTAAGAAACGCTGGCATGCAGTAGCTGTTAACTGCTGTAATATATAACAAATAAAAAATCCTCTCAAAAAGTTAGCTAGACATTTTGTGGTAAACTCATCTTCCCATCCACAATCCAATGAAACTGTTAATGCAATGCATATATTATAATAGGTCATCGAGTTCAAGGTTCCAACCAGATATATTTTTTTCACATGCAGTGCTGGAAACAAGCCCAAATAGATATGGCAGAAATTCCATTTATCACATCAAAAATCATCATGTTAAACAGAATTTTTCACATTACAGCTTATATTTCCATCAAACCATCAAAGAATACTAAAATATCTTTAATTAACTAGTATCTTAATAGTACTGAGTACAGGTGAACTGCAGTAATTAGTAGATCAAAATAGTTTGTAAGGCAGTGTACAGACAAGATTCTGGACTCAGAAAGAAAAACGGAAAAGATTATGTCTGAATAGGCTAATACAAAATAAAACAAAGTGACAGTTTCAAAGTCAAGACTTATCAAAAAAAACTATTTCTAGAATATTTATACTTTATGCCTCTTTTGGTGTTTGGTTCATACAGGATTGATGAGCTAATCAGTCTACTTTCCGTTCAAACCATTCCCATTTCCAAACATTTCTTAGCTCCTTGTCTAAATTCGTCGTATCAAATTCGCTATCGACCACAAGAGAAGCCATTTTATCAACAAGACGAGCTATATCGTAGATGCTATCATCCAAATGACTGTAATGGATGTGTATCAATGAGAAGTCTGGGTATCAAAGACTACCGGTACTGAAGCTTCAGTAAAATTTTGGAAAGCTTGTAAACAGAAAACGAATCATTTAAAACGAACCGTTAAAAATTGGGATTTTATGACAGACGAAAAATCGGAAAATCTTTTTAAAAATCAGAATCAGATTGGACAAAAAAATTTTTTAAAACGGAAAAGAATCATGCCTGAGTGTAATATATGCCCACACAGCACTTCGAAAATCTTGGTTGACCACTCATACGGCCCCTCACCAACCACACATAAGAAAAGGTTTAACTTATAAATTTGTCAACAATGAACATGAACACGTTCTAAGACCTACGATTGAAACAGGACAAATAATTATCATGATAATCACTGTAAGTTGATGTGCTATAAGCTAATAAATAAAGAAATTCCATCTAAAAAAAATATGCCATACATGTGAATTTAAGCTTATAGGGACTGGTGCACCATTTTGGGGTTTGATTTGAGTCACAAAAATAGTCTTCAGATGTACTAGAAATGTATGAATACGCATAATTCATTCAAAAATACAACCTAGGAATTTTACTCACCATTTCTATAATATGTCTTTTCTATAAATCACAGAGTAAGCTTATCTTAAAATTTGATGGTAAGCTGTGAACACTTAGCTTAGTTCGGATGGGCTTAGATAAAAAATTCCCATTGCTGAGACTATAAAGTATGATTGGTTAAGCTTATCAAAACTTTGTGCTGCATT